AAAAACGTCCAAAACGTACGAAATAGTGTGCATCACTTTTCGTACAATTTCATACGAACTGATAATGAGAATATGTTTGGCGAGAAGTCTTTTAATCCAGCATCAAGTATGAGAGCTTTGCAGCTAACAACAGTTGCTGTCACTGTGCAGATTAGGATTAGGAGTTTCAAGGCATTTTGCCTCAACTATGAGGAGAAATAATTGCCCTGCCTCACATCACCGAAAGCTGACGGGAGTAAGTGGACGTGGTGTTGTCAAGGTAGCAGGGGATAGGGTAATACCGTCTACTTCATGGGACGGTAATGGGCACTTGCTGCTGTGTTAATAGTTATTCAGCAAGAGAAGAATCTATGAGGATTACTCAGACATAAATCAAATGAAATACAACTTTGGGCATGGCTTTGATGAAGGACTAGGATTGGAACTTACATAATACATCCAAACATTTGATTTTGCATGATATAGACCTTTTAAATTTAGTGAACCTTGACGTGTTCAGAGGGTTCAGAGGTAAAAATGAGGATTGGGACTACGTTTTCTCAATTTTAACATGACCTCACTGGGCTGTGCTGATTTCTGATTGTTCTCACATGGTTCCAGTCCCATAGATCACCTCCCCAGCATTTAGAGGCTGCTTAGTTTCATTTATTACTTGTCAGATCTTTCTAGTTCTTTTTTCTATGTCTTGTGTTGCACTTTTCTTGGCGTTGGTGAATATATACGAATACGCAACACTACAAATTTTGTAAAAATAAATGAAATGAGAGAAAGAAGAGACACCAATTACAACAACATAAACAATCATGGAGAACTTAAGGGACTATTTTTAAAACTCTTTGAAGCAGTGCTTTGTATGCACATGGAAGGCTCAGAAACAATTTCCATGTAATGACTAACTGCTCAGCTTTCGCATGTTTGTCCTGATTACTCTTGCTTCCGCACCACTGCTCTAATTAAACACGTTCCACTGCGATTATAGCATTTCATTATTCCATGAAAAGCAACATAGTATGAAATTAACTGTTTTAATGAGAAAATAAAGGAGTGACTTCAAATAAATGGTTAAATTGAGGGACATCCAAGACATAAATACGGAGTAATTATGAGGAGTCTCTTTTTAAATCAATTTCTCCATGAAGATTTTTTTTTTTTTTTTTTTTTACTCCAGCCTGCAAATTACAAATTATCTATAGTGTTAAGATTGGTTTCAAAGCTAAAGTCTTGCTTCCTGCATCGTGTGAACCTTTCATTAGACTTCCTCTAGCAATCACTGCAGGAGAGCTGGATTCTCTAAATGTTGCGGTTCTATGGAGTTGCCAGATGTAGCCATCAAAACATGATCCATGCTGTTGCTGCAGAGATTAATTAGCATAAAAACCGACATGATGTGGGACGTTAATGCTCTCAGTCAATACCTCAAAACATCACTTAACCCAGATATAGTATTTAAAAACATGAACAACATGATTTACTCATTATTATGTTTTTTTTTATGTATGAAATTTCAACTTTACTCCTTGACATTTTTAGAAATATGATCAAAAATTTTATTAAAAAAAGCCATGCGATACATTTTCATGAGAAAATAATAATAAATAATAAATGACTACTGACATTGAAAAGGGTCAGCTAATTAATTATAGATCAGGCCATAAATTTCTCAGCAACAGATTACGGTAGCAAGTAACGAGAAATATGAAAGGGGAGGAGTACTTCCAAGCCCAGACGGAATAAACTTCATGCACCATTCTTCTGAACTGAGCCAGGTGAAATGATGGTAAAAAGGTTTACGTAGCTGATTGGTGGTGCTGATTGACAAGTAATGAACTGCCACTACCTATTTAGATAGGGTCTGTTCAGACAGTCATACCTAAAGCTGAAATCCTCTAACAAAAGCCTGAAGGTCTAATTGTTTGACAATAGAACTGTTCCCATGACTGTGGAGATCCACGTTTGGGGAGACTGTGGCATTGAGTCCCTCACAGCAGTTCTGTTTACATTCAGTGATTTCAAGGTTGCTTTTACTTTGGTAATGTCAATTACCGGTACCCATTTATCTGAAGGTCTTTTGCCCCAACTGGTGGCAACTACTACTTGGACAGTTGGGCCTCCAGCCTATGTTTTACTCTGATATTCAACATTGGAGACAAGGTCTCCCCTTTTTTTTTGATTTTATATACTCTAATAATGCGCCGTCCGGGGAGCAGTTTGGGGTTAAGGGTCTTGCCCAGAGTGGCAGTGGGGGGATCAAACTCCCTATCTCAGGATTCAAACCCCTATGTCCTAACCACTAGGCTGCCACTCCCCCTTTATAGCCTCACTGTTAGTCAAGCATCCATGACTGAAAAGAGGTCGGAGACATTTCCTGCCAGTTGGTTATTGCATTGCTTACACCTTTTGCCGCCCAGCATCTTACATTGGTTCTTTTGTCCTGTATGAACTGCAGACCCCTAGTTGGGTTCAGCTAGCGGTTAGTAGGGTGTGAGGATAAAAATCGATTTAGTAATACTGTATACAGTAAACCCTCGTTATGTGGTTCACCTTTCATGGCCTTGCTGCTTTACAGATTTGCATTGTGCATTATGTCATGCATTCTGATTGGCTAAACAGTCTCCATGCTTCTTCTCTACCTGTGTGTCAATAATGTTACGATTTTATATTTTATTATACATGTATAACCCATAATGTCGACAAAACGTCCTGCACAGACAAAGGCACTTGTGGACGGGCCAAAAAGGAAGAAGAAAAAGCTAACTTTAACTTCTGGACAAGCTAAAGGAGGGTAAAAGCTATGCAGCTGAAGGTCGCCATTATGGAATCAAATAATATTCTGTTTGTTCTATAAAGAAGGAGGAAAATAATATAAGGACGACAGCAGCAAAACGTTTTAATAAGGATGCAAAAATGGTTGCAGTTGTCCGCAACTAGACCATGGTAAGGATGGAGTCTGCATTAGCTCTGTGGATTAATGACTGCAGAAAAAAGAACATTACACTGGATACGAAAGTTATCTGCACAAAAGTTAGAGCTCTGCATCAAACTTACAGTGATTTAGATAAAATATATATAATATATATATATATATATATATATATATATATATATATATATATATATATATATATATATATATATATATATATATTTACCATATCTGTAGTTGAGGCAGTCACAGTGGAAAACATGGACTGACATGGATACAAATATAACGTGATTATTAATATCTTCTGATGAACCTTTACAGGGCGTTATTTTTTATTTAGAACATTTATTTTGATAGCTGGGAAAAATATTGCAATATATAGTGTTAAATGAGGAAGGCATGTCCCCTCTAAGGCAGTTGCGCCTCGGGAATTCCCCACCGGTTCTTTTCCTGTGAGTAAGTTGCTTACTACTCTTAACTCAAACTGGGTAAAACAATGTAAAAAGGACTATAAAAAACAGGAGTCAAAAAGTAACAGAGTTTATTCCAGATCAGGTCGTTACAAGACAGAGAAAATGCTTGGAGCTTGCACAGCTGTGGGCTCAAAAAACGTCAGCGAGCATCCGGCAAAGATTGAGCCCCAAACAACGTCATTTCCTGCTTCTTATACCTTATGTGTCTATGTGTTGCATCAGGTGGATGCTTAGCTGTCCGTATCAGAAACTGACACGCCATCAATGCCCTGACCTATATGCGTCTTGCCTATATGCCTCAGGATTACAGATAGCTCTCCTTTATCAGTCGGGCTCCCAGATGTGCCCATATCCTGTGTATTTTTAAAGACACTGATAATATTGTATCGTGACCCAAGTATCGTGACATATTTTTCGTATTGCAACACCCATGCCAATACTCACCCTTAGCCGTTAGTGAGAACTCTTAATGTCTTTTCTACTTTTATGGTAATTCTGACTGGATCGCATTGGATCTATGCTGGCTGAGTTATTAGGGAAGCCTTTATGGTCTGTCTTCTTTACTCCCTGCAAGAGTTGAGTCCCTATTTTTTGGCACAGCCTTGAGCCAGCTCTCAGTGTGGTATGGACCTACAGTAACCTGGGCTATTGCGCATTTCCATTTTACCTGTGGTTTTCATAGACAGAGGCTCAAGACTTAATGACAGTGAAGAGGGAATCCAGGTATTTTCTTTACTGTCTCAGATGCTGTGGTCCTTTTCTCCCTTCAGACTTGTTTTTTTTTCAACATGACAAATGCTCAAATATTCAAACATCTTGGTGTCTTTATGAATTAAGGCTTCATCTCCAGTAATGTGGGCGCCACACTCTCACCGTTTCCACGCATGTCCCACCTGTATGTTTTCCACTGGGCAAATATAGAACTTGCATGGCTATATATATCTAGCTAGGTAAGACATTTTCAGGTTGCCCAGTTACCAGATATCCTTACAAGTGGAAGATATATGCGACACATTGAAGATCCTGAAGCTTTGTCTTCAGTGATAGCTGTCTTTTGGTTTTAGGCATTGGAATGGAGCTCAGCGGGAAAAGAACCCTGACTAACGATCCAGACGGTTGAAAGTTTAACTCCAGATGCCGACGCCAACACATTTGCTTAATGACCTGTGCCGCGCATGAATGTGTGAGCATTGTAAGTGGGACTGGGAGATCGACATGCTATTGTATTTTGCTCTACACGGTTTTCTGTGATCACATGTAGGGATTTTATGGCTCTTTTAATATTTTGACAGTATTTTCCATTTCTACTCAATCGGTTCAGCACACAGTTCAACTGTGGCTCTGGAAGGTTAGGGTTGAGTTCAACAGGAATATATCTCTCACAGTGTGTCAAAGTTAATATCTACGCTCAGAGCGTTGGATGTATGAGCCTGCAAAATCCTTGCCTGGAGCAAATTTGCATTCTGATCAAGAAATGTCTTCATATGTGGGAGGCACTGGCAAACATCCTGGTTTATGAGCTGCCCGTCAGCTGAATATGAAACAGCACATCGTTGCTATAGAAGGGTAGGCGAGCAGAGAGGAAGAAAAGGAAGGAGGGGAGAAGCTGGTTGTACATGCATTGATATTATTCAGAGCCGGAGAGAGACACAAAGGAGGGAAAACAGATTGTTGGTGTAAATGTGTTACATTTGGTGAAGCTTCAGGGAGGAGAGGCAACTGCTCCAGTGGAGAAGCTCTACAGCCTTCAAGATTCAAGAATAATCTGCAGGAGCTGAAACAACAGGAAGTCAGGGGAAACTTTGCCTCTGATCCGCCACTTCAGGATTTTTCAATGTTGCCTTGTCTGGCTGTCAGACTGAGGAGTGTTTTGTGAAAACTGACAAGCCAAGATGAACCAAACTGCATCCGTGTCGCATCAGATAGAGTGTCAGCCCATCAGAGATAGCAAGGTATGATGAATCTGTTCATGTTGCGTCTCTTGAATTGAATTTAAATGTCAAGAGCTCTCACGTGTTTGGCTTGTACCGAGCTGCTGAGTGGAAAGTACTTTTCTTTTGCCTTTTTACACTCAGACTTGGCTTTAACCATGTAATGATATTTCCACTGCATTTCTGTGCTACTTAAGGGTTTTAAAAAGGTCATGACTCAGAGGAATGAAATAATTCTCTTCACCTTACATCTTGACTCTACATTAGAAGATAATTTCACCTTCTTAGCAGCTTATTTCTGTATAGATATTTTGATCCTCGTTAAGCTTTTCTTCACACCTCATTGTTTTTTCTACACTTTAAAACCCATAACACAAATTTTTTAATCAAAACTGATGATTTTTGATAGAGAAAACAATTGCCAATACAAAAATACAAACAAAAAACACTATATCCTTTTCAATGGTATGGAGTGAGTCTTGCTCCAAAGAATGTGATGAATGTTTTTTTAAATGGAAATTAAAAACAAACACATTTTGTTAATTAAATCTGTGAAAAAGGTAATCCAGAACTTTGACAAACATTCTTTAAAAAAAAAAAGGTTTTGAGAGCAACATAGCTGCTTTCTTAAATTTAGTTAAAATTAAAAATGAAATGAATTAAATACCGGTATGTATTTTTTGTCAGTAGCAAGTATTTGTATTGGACTTGAAGTGAATAGATTGTGGTCTGTGAAACCCAAATGGAAAAGAATGCAATCCGTTACACTCAATCTTAACAATCTCGAAAATGAAAAGTATTATAAAAAGGATTTTGGAAAAAAACAATACTTTTGATAATATTATATCTGTAATAAAAATAGAAAAACAAAATATAAAACAATAGAAATTAAAACATAAAAAATTTTATGTAACAAATATTTGATATAACAAAATTTTTTAAAATAGCATGTTACTCCCAAAACATTTTTTTTATGAATTTTTTTTTACCATGTTTCATTTGTGAAATGCAATTTTTTTCTTATTGTCATTTACAAAATGCGTTTTTTCACATTTGAATTTACAAAACGTCTGATTAAACCTGTTGCTGACAATACGAATCAACCCTAAAATTTAATAATTCATTTCAATTCAATTCAGTTTATTTCTATAGCACATGTCATCTCAAGGCACTTTACAGTTCACCAGATCATACAGTCAGATTCTTTCAAAGTTTTCTATCTAAGGAAAACCAGTTGATTGCATCAACTGATTGACTCAGATGCAATCCCTCACACTAAGCATGCTTGTAGCGACAGTGGAGAGGAAAAACTCCCTTTTAGCAGGAAGAAACCTCCAGCAGAACCAGGCTCAGTGTGAGCGGCCATCTGCTGAGGCCGACTGGGGTTCAAGGAGACAGAAGCAGAGATACAAAAAGCAGCTGTAAAAGGCGGCCCCGTCCAGGAAACACACAGTCAGGAGAAGAGCTCTGAGCCAGCTCCCACGAAGTGCTAACAAACAGACCACCTTGTATGCTAATAGTTACTTCTGATCCAACATGTCTTTTTGGGGGTCAATTGACTATATTTAGGTTGGATCTTTACGAGTTGGATTCTATTTGGCAACAAATTCCGTCACAAACAACAACTTATATCTGCAAAACAATAAAAGGTATATATATATATTTGCTAAAGGTATAATGGAGGATGTTCTTTTTCCCGGTGGATCTTCAAAATAAGTGATCCCCCTATTTGTTAATCATTCTGGTGATATGTTTATGTAAGGCTGTCCTACATGCTCGTCCCCATTTTCACTGACAAATTGGACAAAATTGCAAATCTACTTTTGGAGAGTAAGCTTGTATGAGTGATGCAAACAGCAACTTTTAAACAGATCACGCAGAAGGAGAAATGGGCTCATACATGCTCTTGCACGCATAGTGCATGTGCATTTTTTTTTTTTTTTTACAGTGGAGTCTTTTAAAAAGTTTGCAAAAATCCTCCACTATACCTTTAAGTCACCATGTGCAGGTCTTAGCTAGGTGTCAGGAAGAAACTCCTGCAGGCTTACAAATAGTGTGCGATTTGATGGTAACCTATCATCCAATGATGTGTTCTAAAGTTTTTTTTTTTAAGGCATACAGGTGAAAATAGCCAAATTTCCATGAGTTGCCACTAAGGGGCAAAGAGGCTCAGAAGGCCTTTGGTTAACATTAGCAAATAAAAAGGTGCACCACACTGGCTGAGAGAAGTTACACGTCCATCTTCTTAACAGTTTCTATCTTAGTAAAAAACTGGATTGATGCAAAAATGCGACACACTTTAATTCAAAGCTTTATCCTCAATCAACAAAATGCTAGATATTTCATTGTGTTTCAGGTTTGTTGTAATTACTGATAAATTAAAAATTAATTAAGAGAAAACAGATATCTGCATGCATTGATGTCTCATAGGTGAACCTTGCAAAATGCAACCCTTTTAGAAAATTTTTGTTGAAAACGGGGTACACCCAACATCCTATTAGGAGTTTTATCCATCTTAAAGGATATTCTGTAAACATGAATTGTACATTTAAAGGTAAGATCTTATTTTGTTTGATCACATAGTGACAGATCTTATGGTGAAAACCAGCAAAGCGTTGTTTTATGTTGTAATTTCACACGTTCCCATTCATTCAAATCTTAGATTTTTTTATTTTATCTTTTTTTTATGTCAAACTCACCCTTATGCAACAGGAAACCTTCCAAACATTCAGTTTGATAATACTCAGCTCTTTTTACTGCATAGATTTAAAAAACAGTGAATGCCAAATTATTCAAAGCGGTGGTGTTATGGAAATGAGAGCTTTGCCAAAGAGCTGCTTTAAAGCGTTGAACTGTTGAGGAGAAACGGTTTTACGCGTACGCCGGTGTGAAATGTATCTTCAAAAACACATTTTGGCAACCAAATGTTATTCAACCTGTCTTTTCAACAATCAAATATGACCTTGTGTTGACGTTGGGCAGAGACACATTGACAGCAAAGTCTGTGAGATTAAAGTGCTTTATCATTGCTTGCACTTTAAGCAAAGTGGTTCTCGAGTGTTAGCAGAGCCCTAAGAAGTGGAGGACTGACAGCAAGGCAAAGTGTAATCCTTGACAACGGTAATCTGACAGAAGGGACCCTCGATAAGGGAGGGGAAATATACAGCCTCCCAAAAAACATGTTTCTTTACTGAGTATTTCCACAGATCCAGAGCGGGTTTCATTTAATGTCCTCTAGTCTTACATGCTGTAGAATGAACAGACTTTTCTGTCTTTATTATACAGAAGCTGTTTAAGTAACCGTAAAGCAGTGGCTCAGTTTCAATGGATTGCCCCAGTTAAGAACCAAACCTGTTTTGTATGAGTTGAGCATTGCAGTTTAAACTGCACAATTTGTTCTGTTTATACTAATTTTAAATATTGAGGCTATGCCAACAATATAGCCTAAAGTTCTCCCTAAACACTGCAAATCATTGAACTGTAATTACCTTAGGTATGCAGCCGTCTTTTACTAGCGCTTGTGAGAGAATGGGTCCCTTTTTCACACTCAAACCCTACAGTACTACCTAGAGTGGGTCACTCTTTTACATTCCACAAGGGTGGAGCCATTTTAGCTCAGTAGAAGTTGAGTGGTAACTAGTGCTGGGCGACACGGCCTAAAAATGCAATCTCAGGTTTCTTCATTTTTACTTCAATTTGCGATTTTTTCTGATTATTTCCCCTCCTCTTTATTAAGGTAAGCCATAACAAACGGGGCCACGCTTCTGACCATTTTAAAATACGCATTTCAATGCACAACACCATTTCTTCTAATACAACCGCATGTAAATAAACTTGCCTTGCATGTTGCTAATGTTTACAAGGCGCTATTCAAACTTGTGGTTGGGTAATAATGTGTTCTGATAAGCCCCAATTCAATCAGAAAAACCCACATGAAGAGAAAAGACAAATAGGAGAAATTTATTGATACAATTACTTTGTCTTTGGCGCTCAGACCTCGGCAGCAAACATAGCGCTTAATGTTAATAGATATGCATGAACAAGAGCAAATAACAGGGCTGTTTCCCCCCCAGGCCTGAAACTGGTGGTGGAGTGGAGATGAAGTTGGTCAGTCTGTAGACTGCTGGTTAGTGAGACGGTCTGCTGAGCTTTATGGGGAGATCCAGCTGATACTAGAGCTTCACTCAGGGACCTGGAAGATGGAAGTCCAGTTGGATCACACAGGTTGAGAGAACCTGGATATTATGAGCAAGCATGAAGCGACAGTGGAGAGGAACAACTCCCTGTTGGGAAGAAACCTCTGGCAGTACCAGGCTCAACATGGTGGTCTTCTGCCGGACTGGTTGAGATGAGACAGGAAAAACGCAGTAAGAGTCTGGGAGGAATTACACTCTGATGAAGCTTTAGCTACGATGGTGGAGGAGGGGCTGGAGGTGGGTTAAAATGGTATCACCTGAATGCAGTCACACAGCGCATCCGCCGCCTGCCCAAGAGCGGATCGGAAGCCTTTTAAGATGAACTTTGGATGCTGATTGGCTTTCGTGGAGGTTTGGTTCAAAGCTGATTGGCGTAGTGTCGCAGGTGGATGTAGGAAAGCAATGAGTTTCTTCAGTTGAATTTCCGCCTAGGCTCCATAAGACACGTCATCACTGCAGTCCGAGTTATCGCTGGGTTTATTTTTCCCTACCAAAAAATAAAAGAAACGAAAATAAAAAAACATCCCCACCTGCATTTGCCGCGCCACCACTACAGCAGAGAACTTAAAGCCCTGCAGTTCCAAACAACAGATGATTTTATTCCTTTTTTGAGAACAAACTGCTCACTCACCTGCGGTTATGATGTCGTTTGTTGTTTCTGATGCTGTCGCTTTCCCAACTCTAACCTGAGAGTAACGCTGCAGCTACAAAAACTCCAGGGAACCAAAATATGCGCAGTTATAAAAATAATCTATTTAATTTTTTGAAAATCGCCCGCTGGTCAAAGTGGACTGACTAGATGCTAGGGTAGAGGCCTTTTCTTTC